GTAACGTTTTACACAAATGTTACAATTTTAATGTTATGTTAGGCCTTAAAATGTAGTAGTGAGACTGTGAGAGAAGGATTTCCGCATTCCAACTGGAGGACGGCACGACCATAATAGAGAAATCGAAGTCAGGTTTCCAAGAAATTGGTGCAAATGTGAGATTATAAATTTCCATTTTCTCTAGAAGCTTTGTATTTTATATCAATGTTTCATACCACACGTAGTTAAGTTAACTACTTTGCATTCATCTCGGAGAGAATTCCCTAAATAGGAGTAAAAACGTTTTGAAATTCCAAAATAGGACTATCATGTTTTTTATTCTCTGAATAGGAGTAAATGTCTGCCAAGTTTGGCATTACTAGACTTTAAACATGACATTTTTTTCCCAAGCTTGGCAGATTACTCCTATTCAAGGGATAAAAAACAAGATAGTCCTATTTTGGAATTTCAATACGTTTTTACTCTTATTTAGAGTGATTTCTGCTATAGATATTATTTGATGTGAACAAACAAATGATGGAAACATGAAACAGTCGAATGGAAAGTTATTTTATATAGTTGTGTACAACATATATACACACTGGCTAGCGATACATTTATAAGACATTATTTGATATGATGCAGCTATGTATTTGGTGGTTAGCCCTGAACTAATAATAATAATTCCTCCTTTCCAGCACCGGCGATGTGGTTGCCGCCGCCGCCTACTATGCCTAAGTCATCCGTTTTGGGAGAGTGACACAGAGAATGGAGGATCGACGTTGAAACCTGGCTTCGATTTCCTCATGCTCATCGTACCTTCCTCCCGTTGGAATGCGAAACTCCTTCTCTACCACCTCCTCCTCTTCATTATCACTCCTTGGATGCAACCCCAACAATTTCATCCTCAAGCTTCTAATTTTGCTTTCATCGTTATTTTTATTGGTTATTGTAGTTGTAACTAACGAAAGCTCTATTTGCTCCTTCTTCAACTCTACAAGGACAAAATTATCTAACTAATATGTAGTAAAAGATTGAACATTTTTCTTCTTAGCAATCAATTAGATTTGTATTTGAAAAGTTACGATTCGATGTTATTACCTGGTTTCAATCTCAAATACGATCAATAAAACAGATCATACTCAAATAGACCAGATCAGATAAGAACAGACTAACTTATACACACCATATCAGACAAGATTTTTATAGTTGTAAAATACACATAGACCAGCTATTTAACTAGATCATAGTAGAAAGATTCAGTGCGCTTAAAAACATCTTTATACCCACAATGTTGCCCAATTTTAAGAAAGAGAAAACTGTGAATAGATGTTGTTTGCAAAAGAGAAATCTAAGTTCTTATCACGCGCACACATGATAGTTTCTTTTAAAAGAATTTAATGTTAACAAATTTCGAGATAGTATGAAAAAAAAGGATATATTCCGCTTAATTTCATTGTAAATCAGTTGGTTAACGATCTCTTGATATAGTTTAGGGCTAGCTATGTATTATATTATTATATTATATATATATAAGAGTTATGTGAATTGTGCCATTGTGAAATTAGTGATTAATTATGTTTTATTTTACGGTTTTACCATGTACATATTGATAAATTAAATTGACTAATTCTAAAACATTTTTGGCAAAGCATTATTGTCAGTTGTTTATTAATATTTCTATGTACTTTCTGGTTATTATTCACACCATTTGCCCTAAATTTTAAGGGCAGCTATATGGATGATGTATGCGATATTGCAATATGATTGTAGTGAAAGCTGGTTTTAACTTGCAAAATATATACACATTACCTAATGGTAAACGAAACTCAAGAACGTCAGGATCTACCCCTAATCCGATTCGAAGGGCATATTTTGGCTCAAAACGTGAATCAACTTCAGCTGGGGGAGAATTCATGCTTGAACCCATTTCCATCAAATAAACCTTTTCTTTTTTAAATACGACTGCTTTGAAGAATTTATACACAAAAAACTCCTTTGTGTGGCTGGTAAATATCACAAGCTCTTTTGGGGTTTATATACGGAGAAGAAAAAAAGAAAAAGAAAACAATGAGATTTTTGGGAATATAATCAAGATAATACCTTACTTTTCATGCTAGCTTTCCTTGGTGATAACTTTAATTGACTTCAAGCCTGTAGAACTGGAAAAGGTTTCTTCTCCTGAAGGAACTTCTAAGATACTAATCTTTAGAATTATGCAGGGATATATTCTTAAGCATCTGTTTCGAATTCGAAAAGAAAAAATCTAAAGGGACACACTTTTTTTATGTACACACTTTTACACATTTTTGTGTAGGTTTTTTGTCTGTACAGACAATACGTTTTGTCTGTACAGAAAAAAAAAACGACACAGATATGTGTAAAAGTGTTTGCCTCAAGTCCAACTCATTCGAAAAATAGCAATTTCAGAAAATGATGCTTTCGAGAATAAAGAATTGGACCAGATCTTATCTTGGGCCCAAATATTATTGGACTGCTTTACTTTTTAATATTAATATAGCATGTTAGCCTTTTACATAAGTATTGTACTATTACCCTATTTGTAACTAGTGAATATTCATTCTTCTTCATCTGCTATCTTAATTCACACCTTCCACATACTTTCTTCAAGAACTCTATTCATTTGAGATTTCACATGATATCAAGTTAAGGCTTCGATCCTTATTGATTTCTATTATCTTTAATTTTGAATTTCTTTTGGATCGATTTCGATAATCGATTCAATCGTTTCTTTGGTTTTTCTCTTCTCTTCGATCACAACTCTTACTTCCATATGGTCGCTTCATGGATTTTGTGTTGCTTTCCATTAGAATATAACAAAAATTCTCTACATGGTCATGAATTAAACGGCACAAAAAAATGAAAGTTTCCAGTTCTTGAATTATACCCAAACCCCATTCCCACCTTCCTCTTACAGTTTTAGTATGTGTGTTATTGGTTTGTCAATGTCCATAGCCTACGTACCCTAATATGCACAAAATTAAAGGCTCTCTCACTGACCTGAAAGAGTAATCATCAAATCAAACAAGAGAAACAATAAACTCCCAATCCTAATAAATAAAGTACTACCTCCGTCCCCCTAAGTTTGGGACAAGAGAAGGTGACACGGTTATTAATAAAAATGAGTTTATGTGGTTGATATTGAATTGATAAAGTAAGAATAAAGTGAGAATGATTTAGAACCACACAAACTTTACCAAATAAGGTATGAGACAATCTTAGTGGGACGGACCAAAAAGGTAAAATGGGACAATCATAGCGGGACGGAGGGAGTAGTAAATAGTGGATCTGAATCCAAAGCACAAACGTAGTGTTTAATGGTATAGGGGAGGGTTCTAGTGAGAACCCCTCTTAAAATGAGAACCCGTGAGAACCCCTGAGAACCGGTGGTATTTTTGGTTGAAATTTTTTGTGTATGTTCCACGTCAAGTCTAGTTCATCCATACCAAATTTGAGCAAAAAATTCAATCGGGCTATAAACTATAAACTATAAATTCCATACCACAAATTATAGGTACAAATGTACACTACTAAAATAGGACTATAAAGTGGTCACATTTTTGGAAATCAATCCTAATTTAGTCATATTGAGGGAATAACCCCTAGTGAAAAAATGGCCTAGATGTGACTCCTGGACTTTTGATATACAAAAATAAGACTGTTTTTAATTTTCCCAAATATATGACTTTAGCGTAGCACCCATCTTACGTGACCTCCAACAGCCGAACGCCATCTTCTTTCATCTCAACGACGATTGAGGCAACGAGCTTGATAGGGTGCGCATAGGCTCCTCACCGCTCCTCGCCGAACGCCCCTCCGCCTCCTCAGCTGCCACAATCCCCTTTCTTCTTCTACTCCTTTCTCTCCCGCAGGCGTCGCTCGAGCAAGTGCAGGGTTTTCGGTTCAGAAGCACGCCGCTACAACTCCGACTTTGCGATGCTCAACCAATGCTGCCAACTCGCCGCTGTAACCTCGCTTCCCACGCCCACACAATTGAAATTCTAGACCGAATTTGAAGAATTTCAATTTGTTTCAGATCTGATTCGTTCTGAGTGCTCAGGTAGTCAGGTAGTCAGGTGCGGTAGGGTGCTCAGGTTCTGGTGGCTAAGGCGGGGCTGGAAGGTAGGGCGTTGTTTATGGGCTAGGGTGCAACGTTGGGGTGGATGGGGAGTGGTGGGGCGGGGGGTGGTCCGGGGATTTGGGTGACAGGGGAAGAAGAGATGAGACTAGGGCTGGGTGGGGGGATGGGGAGGTGGCTGGAGAATCGGACGGGGTAGGGGAGGTGGCTGGGGGCCACGGCGGTGGTCTGTGGTGGTGGTCCGCGACGGCTCTAGGGTGGTGCGGCGTGGGTGGTGGAGGTGTCACTGTATAGCGCAATGAGAGGGTGGGGCTTACAGTCACTGGCCAGTGGGCATCGCCAGTCACTGGCTGGGGGTGGAAGTCATTGACTAGGGTGCGGCGGCAGTCACTGATCGGGTGCAGCAGCAGCAATCACTGACCGGGGACTTCGGCAATCACCGGCTGGGGCAAGGCAGTCACTAATTGGCGATCATTGTGCAGGATTGAAGAAGGAACAAATAGAGTTTGTGTTAGTAACAACTAACAACAACAAATAAAAATAACAATAAAAGTGAAATTAGAAGCTTGAGGATGAAATTGTTGGGACTGCATCCAAGGCGTGAATGCATGATAATGAAGAGGAGGTGGTGGTAGAGAAGGAGCTCCACATTCCAAGTGGAGGACGGTACGACGATCATGCAGAAATCGAAGTCAGGTTTCCAAGAAATGGGTGCAAATGTGAGATTATTAATTTCCATTTTCTCTAGAAGCTTTGTATTTAATATCAATGTTTCATACCACATGTATTTAAGTTAACTACTTTGCATTCATTTAGGAGAGAATTCCCTAAATAAGAGTAAAAACGTTTTGAAATTCCAAAACAGGACTATCATGTTTTTTATTCTCTGAATAGGAGTAAATGTCTGCCAAGTTTGGCATTACTAGGCTTTAAACATGACATTTTTTTCCCAAGCTTGGCAGATTACTCATATTCAAGGGATAAAAAACAAGATAGTCCTATTTTGGAATTTCAATACGTTTTTACTCTTATTTAGGGCGATTTCTGCTATAGATATTATTTGATGTGAACAAACAAATGATGGAAACATGAAACAGTCGAATGGAAAGTTATTTTATATTGTTGTGTACAACATATATACACACTAGCTAGCTATACATTTATAAGACATTATTTGATATGATGCAGCTATGTATTTGGTGGTTTGCCCTGATATAATAATAATAATTCCTCCTTTCCGGCACCGGAGATGTGGTCGCCGCCGCCTACTATGCCTAAGTCATCCGATCCGTTTTGGGAGAGTGACACAGAGAATGGAGGATCGACGTTGAAACCTGGCCTCGATTTCCTCATGCTCATCGTACCTTCCTCCCGTTGGAATGCGAAACTCCTTCTCTACCACCTCCTCCTCTTCATTATCACTCCTTGGACGCAACCCCAACAATTTCATCCTCAAGCTTCTAATTTTGCTTTCATCGTTATTTTTATTGGTTATTGTAGTTGTAACTAACGAAAGCTCTATTTGCTCCTTCTTCAACCCTGCAAGGACAAAATTATCTAACTATCTAACTAATATGTAGTAAAAGATTGAACATTTTTCTTAGCAATCAATTAGATTTGTATTTGAAAAGTTACGATTCGATGTTATTACCTGGATTGGTTTCAGTCTCAAATACGATCATATCAGAATCAAACAGATCATACTCAAATAGACCAGATAAGATAAGAACAGACTAAACAAACTGACTTATACACACCACACACCATATCAGAGAAGATTTTTTTAGTTGTAAAATACACATAGCCAGCTATTTAACTAGATCATAGTAGAAATAACCAAGCATTCCAGCCCAACTGGTTGTGAGGTTACCGTGACTAGTGGGAGGTCTCGAGTTCGAATCCCGCTAGGCACACAAGGGTTGGAAACTCAATGGAGTAAGTTTCAACCGAGATTACTCCGGGCTCCCCCAGACCCCCTGGAGTAAAAAAAAAGTAAAAAAAAAAAGGATCATAGTAAAAAATTTCAATGCCCTTAAAAGCATCTTTATAGCCACAATGTTGCACAATTTTAAGAAAGAGAAAACTATGAATAGATGTTGTTTGCAAAAGAGAAATCTAAGTTCTTATCACGCGCACGCATGATACTTCCTTTTAAAAGAATTCAATGTTAACAAAATTCGAGATAGTATGAAAAAAGGATGTATTCCGCTTAATTTCATTGTAAATCAGTTGATTAACGATCTCTTAATATAGTTTAGGGCTATGTATTATATTATATTATATTATATTATATTATATTATATATATATATAAGAGGTATGTGAATTGTGCCATTGTGGAACTAGTGATTAATTATGTTTTATTTTACGGTTTTACCATGTACATATTGATAAATTAAATTGACTAATTCTAAATCATTTTTGGCAAAGCATTATTGTCAGTTGTTTATTAATATTTCTATGTACTTTCTGGTTATTCACACCATTTGCCCTAAATTTTAAGGGCAGCTATATGGATGATATATGCGATATTGCAATGTGATTGTAGTGAAAGCTGGTTTTAACTTGCAAAATATATATATACACATTACCTAATGGTAAACGAAACTCAAGAACGTCAGGATCTACCCCTAATCCGATTCGAAGGGCATATTTTGGCTCAAAACATGAATCAACTTCAGCTGGGGGAGAATTCATGCTTGAACCCATTTCCATCAAATAAACCTTTTCTTTTTTAAATACGACTGCTTTGAAGAATTTATATACAAAAAACTCCTTTGTGTGGCTGGTAAATATCACAAGCTCTTTTGGGGTTTATATACGGAGACGAAAAAAAGAAAAACAAAACAATGAGATTTTTGGGAATATAATCAAGATAATACCTTACTTTTCATGGTAGCTTTTCTTTGTGATAACTTTAATTGACTTCAAGCCTGTAGAACTGGAAAAGGTTTCTTCTCCTGAGGGAACTTCTAAGATACTAATCTTTAGAATCATGCAGGTATATATTCTTAAGCATCGGTTTCGAATTCGAAAAGAAAAAATCTAAAGGGACACACTTTTTTTATGTACCCACTTTTACACATTTTTGTGTAGGTTTTTTTTGTCTGTACAGACAATACGTTTTTTCTGTACAGAAAAAAAACCGACACAGACATGTGTAAAAGTGTGTGCCTCGATCAAGTCCAACTCATTCGAAAAATAGCAGTTTCAGAAAATGATGCTTTCGAGAATAAAGAATTGGACCGGATCTTATCTTGGGCCCAAATATTATTGGACTGCTTTACTTTTTAATATTAATATAGCATGTTAGCCTTTTACATCCGTACTAGTATTTCACACGTGCGTTGCACGGGGTACCAAATTATATTGAAGTCATCCCATTTCCCTAGTCAGTTCTATTATTTTGAAAACTTTGTTTAAAGGAATGTTTGCAGTTGCTTAAAAAAAGCGTTTTTCAACTTTTGGCTTTAAAAAGCTGAAAAGAGTGTTCTCAAACGACAGCTTGAAATTAATCACCTAAAAGCTAAAAGTTGGAAGCAGGTGGAAGGGTGTTTTAAACTGCTTTTCACTTTTTCTATTAAACAAAAAGTACTTATTTTACCAAACAACTAACCTATTTGTACCATTACATATGTTAACTGCAATCTATTTATATTAGCTAAGAATATTCCTAGGCCCCCCTTCTATGCTTCCACTATGATCTGTTAAAGTTTTTTTTTGCTGAATTATAGGTTAATACTCCCTCCGTCCCCCTAAGTTTGGGACGGAGGGGTGTGGTGTGGTTTTTAAGAAAAAGTGTGGTTGGTATTGAATTGATAAAGTGTAAATAAAGTAAGAATGAATTCTAACCACTCAAATGTTACCAAATATGGTATGGGACAAACTTAGTGGGACGGACGAAAAAAGTAAAACGGGACAAACTTAAGGGGACGGAGGGAGTATTTGTTTGAATCTTTATAAAAGGTTTGAATAAGAGGCTACCTTGGCTGTAAATTTATAAAAAGATGGCATCCGTAGAATATGCATTAGAGAACAAAACCTGAGGGCCTATGAAGAATTAATAGACACCATTTGTTGAATAAGAGAAAATATGGTGTCTAAGTATAAATATGAGTCGTTTTAGCTGCCCAAGTTGTCACTCCTCATGTTAAGTTACAAAAATAAGGGCACAAATCATGATGGTTTTGTGACCAAGTAAATAATTTGGATATAAGAATTACAACAGGCCAAGTGGGTATGAAACGGAAGACCTACAACTAATGGACATACGCATTATATACACTTTTAAATTGTACACCAATGTTTAAAAAACATGAGGCTAGTATTTAAGCAAACCTTGCTGCCCTTTACTCTGAGATATTTATTGACCAACTGCTTAATTAAGGGTTCTTGAAAACATATGTGGACACATACCTTACAAAAACCATACGATTACCCGTATTTGCTATGAAAACCATTGCAAGGGTAAGGGGTAGATAACCATGCGATTATCCTGATTTGCTGGAGAGAGCAGTCAATCCAAAATCAGAAACTTTGAGTCTCGAAGCGGTATATGGTAGCAAACTCTCTGGCTGCAAAAGCATATCAATCCATAAAGTTATATGTTATGCATTCTTATTATGTCTCATAAGAATTCAAGAGCAGCGAGTAATTCCTAAGAAATAATTATTATGTTTCATAAGATCCTGGTGGAAGATTCCCCTACTGTGACAATAATCAACCGCTTTTATTAAGTGCTGAAAATATTTCCTTGTGTCATCTTCCTTCATTCGTCCAGGAGTAATGAATTTGGCTAGTGTTCATATTGGAATATAATTAAGAGGAGAACAAATATGCATTCAATTTTATGAAACAACTCAAAATCTATTTATATCTAGACCTCAATTCCCCGGATTTCTGGGAGAGAGCAGTCAATTATATATTCAAAATCAGAAACGTTAAGTCTCCAAGTGGTATATGGTAGCACACGCTCTGGCTGCAAAATAAAATCAATCCATGAAGTTATATGTTATGCATTCTTACTATGTTTCATAAGAATGCAAGAGTAGCAAATAATTTATAAGATAAACGTAGTAATTATTATGTTTCATAAGATCCTGGTGGAAGATTCCCCTGCTGTTACCACAATAATCAACCGCTTTTATCAATTGCTGGAAATATTTCCTTGTGTAATCGTTCCTAATTCTTCTAGGATTTACCATTCTTGTAAATGGATTAAGTAGAGAGTAAATAAAATCAAAAAGAACTCGAATAATGAATTTGGCTAGTGTTCATATTGGAATTAAGAGGAGAATAAATATGCATTCGATTTTATGAAACAACTGAAAACCTATTTATATTTAGACCTCGATTTCCATGTTCACTCTATCTAGCCATTGTATCCTTACTATTTTAGTGCTACCATGTGCAGAGTACATCTTTTTCACCTAACTATTTCAATGGCACAATTAAAATACATTGAAGTTTTATATAAATGAGAACTAAATAGTAAGCAACAAAGACTCATTCTATACTTCACGTTGCTAATGCAGTGGTAACATCAAAGTACATTAAAGCTTTATGTAAATCAAAACCTATTCACCAAGACATTATGCTCATAAAATTAAATCTACTACTTGAAAGCTCAACCTTTTTTAAAACAAATGATGCGATCAAGTTAAAAGAAAGCAGTAAATAAAGTAGAGCAGGTTCCACTTATGGAGCTTTTTAGATTTAAAAGACAACAATAGCATAGAAAAAAAGAACACAAAGAAAGCAGAGGCTACTAATAAGGCTACTAATAATTTTAGTTGGTGGTGGAGGGGAGACCTACGGCCAGGATGCTAATAAGGTAATGATGATCCATTGAGATGGAGTATAGAATCGCTCATAAAGTTGGATACCTGGAAAATAGAAGGAAAGCTCATATACATCGGGATGCCTTGGAATCTTTGAAGTCAGATACTTAGGAGTCACTGAAGTAGAAATAGATTGAAAGAAATAGCCATCCGTCTTCAGAACAGCGGAGGATATCTGGATAGAATCAGAAATAATGGAGTGAGAAAGTTGGAGATAGCAAGCGCGTGACCAACAGATGTCAAAGGAATTGAAGAACTGTGCTGAAACTCCAAAGAGCCGTGTAGGAGGAGGATGCTCTCAGCGATGCTAGAACTTCTGAAAGTAGTGATATGATAGAAGCGATCAGTAAATGATAAGGATTTTACAAAAATACCCTAAACAGATGAATGGGAACTTCACTTAACTCGATTTAATATACTCCCTCCGTAACTTTAAAATCTTCCCATTTGAAAAGTAGGTAGATTAAGAATAGTGAAAGAGAATATGAATTATTGAGGGTATGATAGGAAGATAGTGGAATAAGGTGATGGAATGTAGGATAAATCCAAAAAAAGTAGTTGTAAAAGTGTATTATTTTCAGAATTATTGAGGCTATGATGGGAAGATTTAGAAATGAGAAGATTTTTTTGTTACGGACGAAAAAGGAGGGAAAGTGGGAAGATTTTAAAGTTACGGAGAGAGTATATATAGATTGTACTATTACCCTATTTGTAACTAGTGAATATTCATTCTTCTTCATCTGCTATCTTAATTCACACCTTCCACATACTTGCTTCAAGAACTCTATATTCATTTGAGATTTCACATGTTATCAAGTTAAGGCTTCGATCCTTATTGATTTCTATTATCTTTTGAATTTCTTTTGGATCGATTTCGATAATCGATTCAATCGTTTCTTTGGTTTTTCTCTTCTCTTCGATCACAACTCTTACTTCCATATGGTCGCTTCATGGATTTTGTGTTGCTTTCCATTAGAATATAACAAAATTTCTCTACATGGTCATGAATTAAACGGCACAAAAAAATGAAAGTTTCTAGTTCTTGAATTATACCCAAACCCCATTCCCACCTTCCTTTTACAGTTTTAGTATGTGTGTTAATGGTTTGTCAATGTCCATAGCCTACGTACCCTAATATGCACAAAATTAAAGGCTCTCTCACTGACCTGAAAGAGTAATCATCAAATCAAACAAGAGAAACAATAAACTCCCAATCCTAATAAATAAAGTAGTAAACAGTGGATCTGAATCCAAAGCACAAACGTAGTGTTTAAACGTAGTGTTTAATGGTATAGGGGAGGGTTCTAGTGAGAATTCCTCTTAGAATGAGAACCCGTGAGAACCCCTGAGAACCGGTGATATTTTTGGTTGAAATTTTTTGTGTATGTTCCTCTTCAAGTCTAGTTCATCCATACCAAATTTGAGCAAAAAATTCAATCGGGAAGGTAACAGCGTAGTAGAATTGAAATAAATAACAGCGTAAACTCGATTTAGTAAATTAAACCATAAACTATAAATTCCATACCACAAATTATAGGTACAAATGTACAATACTAAAATAGGATTATAAAGTGGTCACATTTTTGGAAATCAATCCTAATTTAGTCATATTGAGGGAATACCCCTTATTTAGTCATCTTAAGAGAATAAAAAAGTAAAAAATTGTTGAGAAAATAATTATACTCTTTGAAAAATTGCTACTACGTACAATTTACTTCTGCTTAAGGAATTGAAATAATTGCATAAATATGACCAAAATAAAGATGGTTTACAAAAATATGATTAGGTACTAGAGTAGTAATGAAATCATAGTAATTCATGTTCAAGTTTTAAACTTTAGTTACCACATCACTACGTTATAGTAATGAATAGTCATATTTATGTAAAAAAGTTTTATTGTAGTAATATTCTTGTAAAAAACCCTATTCTAGAAAATTCAAGTAAACTTATATATATAATTAATTTAAAAATACAAATCTCAGTTAGGATGTTTTCTTTTGGACTGTTTTCAGTCCCAGACTTAAACAGACCAGACCAGATCAGACCAGACTTAAACAGACCAGACCAGACCAGACCAGACCAGACTTCCGTAGTTATAAAATACACAAAGACCAGACGTTTACCAGACCAGTTCAGACCAGACCAGACCAGACCAGACTTAAACAGACCAGATCAGACCAGACCAGACCAGCAAATTTCAGTCCATAAGAAAACATCCTTACATACTTGGACCGCAAATAAAAAATAGTGGAAATTACCCGTACACTATACTTTTCGATGGCACATATCATTTATGTCCCACTAGTTTTTCCTTTTCATTTTTAATCTTTTGAGTTTTCATTTACGTTTTATTCATTTCACTTGTAACTATTCTTTACATTCTACTCTCTCGTATACGAGAAAGACGCGCACAAGGCAAATTCCAAGGATAGTCTTTGGAAGACAGGCTAGAGAGAGAGGTCGCCACGATTCAGGGAATAAGGTTAGGAGATCAGCCAAGTGAAGACTTGCGGCGCTAGAGGAATGAGTTGCAAGCGGCGGCTTTGCGAAGCGGCGGGCGGCGCTATGACAGAGGCGGCAGAGTTCATACTCAGGATTGTTCGCCAGTCGCCTTTGGATCGGTCTGCACCTGTTCTTCCACATCTGTAATTCCAGATCTGTTCTCCATCACCAACTAATCCATTAACAATAACTTCTTCGGTATCTGCAAACCGACCATGAATACCACCGAAATCAAATTGGAGGCTCGCAAATTCATATAGATGACACCGTATTCCAAGCCAGCAACCCCGATTGCAAGTTTTATCGGCTCAACCAAGGTTAACTTTCAATTCCGTAGGTCATGCAAGTCAAAATCCGAGTCGGAAAATCTTATTTTGAGCTTCACTGTCTCGAGCATGCCCTCAAGGACAGTCAGGGTACGCCTATGTTATTCAGATCTTTATATAGCATTGTACTTTCATTTTCCAGATCTGGTTGATGTTTAGATTATGTTTGGAAATGGAGCGGCGAGATGGTAATATGCCAAGTGATACCGCCAACGGTGGATATCAGAAGTTGCCTAGAAATCAAAGATGCAGCCAATGATTGTTCCTGAACTTTTATTCTAAATTGATTTTCCATCTGGATTGATATCAGGCATTTTCATGTGCTTAAATAGAATGAAACTAAATATGTTATTAATGTGTTTACTCTTAATTTATGTATACTTTAATGGTTGCCGGTGTGAGAGTTATGATTGGAAGTTTTTTTTGCATAACCTAAACATTTTGATTTTTTCAACTGCATATTCACTATATGCCTCATGAGCATAAAAAAACTGCTACTTACCACTTTTTGGAACTCCTGCTGCTCGACATAAAACTGGACAACGTAGAGGGTTTTGCACTACCTGGGGTAAGTGTGTTTTTTGAAAGGTATGCAACAATTTAAGAAGAGTAGTAACTCTGAAAAATGTCCATCCTAAACCATTGATTTCCCTTTGAGATTGAACGAGTGGTGCAATGTTGTGCGTTGGGAGTTTAGCCATCGTACTCATTTTAACTGGTCATATGCAAGTACTTTTTGTTTGTTTCTAATGATCAGTTTGTTTTGACAGTTTTAGAGGGTTATGTTTGGAGTGTGTATTCTATACAACTTTATAAATGGAATGTCTTTAAGAGCCACCTCTTCTCATGATAGGCATTTTGTTATCGGTTTAGATTACATAGTCTTTGAGCCCGTTTGGTAGCACCAAAATCGGCTGTTTTGGCTGATTCTGCTGAAATTTATGATATTCTGGCTGGAGTGGCTGTTTTGGCTGATTCTGCTGATTTAAGAAAAAAATATTTTAAAAATATATTTTATTAATAAATTAAAGAAAAAGTTATATGTAAAAATAGCTAAAATGTTCCTCTACAGTAACTTCAGCCAATACAGCCAGAAAAGTAACTCCAACCTTACTTTTTCGGCTTATTACACAATTCAGCGCGCGAAAGTAAAAGTTACGTGTTTGGTGAAAAAGCTGGCTGATAAGCCTGATAAGCCGAAAACAGAGTTCTCCAAACGGGCTCTTTGTTTAATTGTATGTCTATGAAAAGCTTGATTACTTGGATTTTTTTTCACGAGAAAGTGTATACTCTAAATAACATCACATTGCTATCACATCCGAGGACCCTCATGTCTATAGAAGTAGAGATGGAGTGTTACTTTTTTCTATATTATTTATTTTATTTTCATATTCTTGTTTGTGGTGAGTCATTTCTTAGTTTGCTTTCTGGCGTCTTATTGGAATTTCGGTTATAAACTTATAATAATTGTATTCTTATTGCAGGAGCACAAAAAAAATAAGTACACCAAGATGCTAATAAGAGTCATTTTTGAAGAATAGTGAGTTAAGATGCATAAAAAGAAGAAGAAACGATAAGAAGCACAGTCAAATAATATTACAAATGTGCTGATATGAAGAAATAGATCAAATTATAAATCTATTGTGATACATCTATATTTGCTTTTTTTTGTTTCAATGTATGTGTTGCTTTTTGTTGCAACATATGTTTTGCTTTTTGTTGTAACGTGTTGCTTTTTGTTGAAATTAGGGCTGGTTCGGTATGGCATACCGAAATTTTCACGCCATACCGCATACCGTACCGAAATACCGGTATTTGTAAAAGTCATACCGTTACCCTACCGAAACTTTCGGTATACCGAATTTCGGTATACCGAATTTCGGTATACCGAATTTCGGTATACCGAAAATTCGGTACGGTATGTGACCCATACCGTTTTATACCGAAAATTCACAACACTTAACTTGTAAGATGATTCCGCAGAAAGCATCGGCATAAAAGGCCTACCGAACATCCAAAAAATCTGATTTTAATATGTCGAAAGTAGTATACGACATTAATTACATAAGCTTATACCCAAACTAAAACACAATATTTAATCCAAAGTAGAAAATACTAAAATTATGCGCTAATATCTCAAGTCTCAACACTATCCATAATGAAAATTAGAAAAGTTATCCAACATAAATCAATGATAATTAATGTTTGTAATAACAAATCATTGTTGCAGCTCCAAAAGATAAGTAGGCTAAAACTTCACTCCTCCATTCCTCCTTCATTCCTGAAAATGAAAATAAATCAGTTTTGTTGTATTTAAATCCGTCCAATTTTACATATATTTAGACAGACTTAAATAAGTGATGTGGAGTTATCTTTTCCACTTCAATAAAGTTCTACTCCAAATATAGACCAATTAGGACCATCGAGTAATCTTGTTGTTGTTTGTAGGATCATCGAATAAGAAGTTGCATGCATATCAGCATATACAAAAAGTTTGAAAAGAAAAATAAACAAATAGAAAGTTGAAAAATCATGTAAGATAAGAAGGGAAATCCTATGGCTATGTTAGGATCATGGAAAATGCTAAGGGAAAGGAAGCAAAATGCTCAGAAATGTTATTTTCTTATGTTTGAATCTACTTCAGAAAATCCAAAGGAAAGTGAGATGCAAAATAAACTACACTACTTTCTTAATAGTTCTTTGCCAGTGAACAAGACATCAGCAAACTACACTTTATTGCCAATTTAATAATAAACTTACACTATCTTCTTAGTAGTTTAGCTGCTTGCAAGCCAGTGAAAATAACCCATAAGAAAGTAGTGTAGTTTATTTTGCATTTCACTTTGCTTAGTTGTTTGCCAGT